ATATATATGGGTTCGGATCACGCACTAGTTCGTTGCGTAAAATGCGCCATTGAGAGTGCTAGCTACCTTCATATAGGGCAAACCTGCTAGAACCACCCACTGAAGTCCCCTTCGGACAGCATGTCTTCCGATGTCAACTCTGGGAGATACTTGGATTCGGATCACGCACTAGTTCGTTGCGTAAAATGCGCCATTGAGAGTCTCTGCTACCTTCATATAGGGCAAACCTGCTAGAACCACCCACTGAAGTCCCCTTCGGACAGCATGTCTTCCGATGTCAACTCTTATTGGGAGATACTGTCCACAACTCTGTGCAGTGCTGGGTTTTCTGCTTGTGGGACGGCACACAGCCTCTCCCATCAAATTCTCTACCGCGAATCAGTATTGAGAACTATGCTATCGTATTAAATCCCGCTAGAACTCATCAACTGGATCAGGTAATAACAGTTGTCCCAGGGAGGTTTTTCGAGAAGCCAGGGGAACTCATTGATAACCACAGTTGTTCGGGCTCTCCGGCCGTATTTAGTCGTGCGGCCAACTGGATGGTGCGGAAATTGTTGGATGGATACCACGGTCTTCACCCCGGCTCAACTGTCCATTTACCAGACCTGTAATGTGCCAATATCTCATGTGGTTCTAGACAATGAACAGTCAGTCGTTAGCATAGGGTCTGAAATTAATGTGACGAGGACATATAATTTATAATTGCATATTTGCCTGTCTCTATCACAGGTGAACCAACAAGACCAGTGAACTCATTCAGACATCAAGGTTCATTTTTACTTCCAAGCTGCTCGGACTTTGAAAGTACCGACAACCAATGGTGTCGGTTTTGTGCGGCCGCTGCCGAATCAGTTTGCAAACCAAGTTTCGGTTCCACCATTCTGTCGGTGGCCCTATGATATTCTGCGCGTGTGAACCATGGCACTCGCAAACGTAATTTCGCAGGTTGGAATCTTTTAATCCCTGTAATATGGAACGTATATTTGGAGCATCCTAGGAAAGCGATATCACTGTGGTTGCCTATCGGTGTCCTCACTTAGCATTCTGGCCGCAATATCTGGGAAAGTGGCTCTGGTTTGTCGGTACAAATCTTGTTTCGGCTGGCACCCTGGTTTGTCGGTACAAATCTTGTTTCGGCATAGTTGACATAGTGTTCATATCAAAGCATGGCTAGACACCGCAGAGGCGTGCGCTGATAACATGTGTCTGCGATTTGTTTGTGACGACCTATGCTCCGGCCTGTCTTCAGTCAACGACGGATTGTGGTTGGCCCTCATGTTTAAAGCCGGCTCATCCTAAACAGCAGGACTTCGTTCTAAAGTGAAGTAAGTTCGACCCGCTAGCCTTGGCAAAGATCCTGATGTCCAACTTGGATGCCTCAAGTCGTCAATCATATGTTCAATTTGAACCCAACACTACCGATGCTGATGAATAACTGTTTCGCCGTTGTACTGACGAATTTCTTATAATCATGTCGAAGTCGCTGTGGGTTTCATTGCACCGCGATACCCTTGATGAACTACCTATTGTTCGCCAATGGCGGGGTTCCATCTACTTTTCATCTTCCCTTCAGATCATTCCCTTGTACTATTCGGTTTTCGTCGAATACGAGGTTAAACTAGTGAAAGGTTGGGGAACACCAAGTCTTTCTGTATAAAGCTGTGCTAACTGTACCACCGCAGGATATCAATCACTACTGGGAAGGAATAGCTTTCTTCGTTATTTCTGCTGGAAAATTCGCTCAACCATTCCATATAAACCCCAAAACGAAAAGACGTATTTGTCCAGGTTCAGGTGTGTTAGCTGTTTCAGTAGAGCCTGCATACAGCTCGGAAAACAAGTGACATCAGAGATACCAAGAAGCGAAGAAAAGATTTGTTCTACTGGGGTTCTACGGAAACGAAGGGCTCAATAAAATGGTAGAGGCGCGTTTTCAGAAGCAGTTGGCTGTTTTGTCATTCATCTATCTCTCTTTTATTTGCGAAGCTTGTTTTTGAGCCTGTATCTTGTGCGTGGTTATCTTTATCTTTAGACTCCACCGGGGTGTGTTGCTAGATGAAATTCTGCCAGTTTATTTGACAGGTACTTTGGGCTTTCTTCTAGCAGTACTATTTAAATTTGCTTGGGAACGAAAATGCCAGGCAATTGATGAATGCAGATACTACGCCGGTTATATGAGGTAGACTGGACTATAGTGTTTGTTTTGTGGTAATCTTCGAGGGAACGATCTTCATGTTTCAAGCCGGCCACTCTCAAGGCACAATTAACCCGTTGTAAGCCGTCTAGACTAATATTTTTTCTTTCCTGTTTTTAGATGGTATATTCTTAGGCTTTTGTGAATGGAATTCAGACGCTTCAGGCGGAGCATTGCCCGGATAGCACGGCGTACTTTTTGGCGACTGCCCTATATTGCTCCACTTGCTGTCCTCATTTCCTTGACTTTGTTGATTTATCTGGGAACGGTATTGTCGAACACAGTTAATTATTCCAACCACAATTACGCCGCATCACGAGTTCGCGATGCTGAAGAGCTGCGCCTGGCTCGTGCCCGGACGCGACTTGCAGAATGGCGAATCGATGGCCGTGTCTTACCTTTTCGTTACCAGTCCACCAATGAAGGGAACCGCTCGTATGATCCACTGAAGCCGCCTCCAGGTGTGACATTTGCTATCCTCGCGCCAAACCGCGGTCTTCATGAAATTGATGATTACGAACCGTCTTACCTTACCGAGTCATTAGTCAGCTTAATCTCAGCCATCCGACATGATTTGTCACGGTACGGAAGGCGTTTTTCGTTCGTCAACATCACAATCTGCCCGACGACTGATCAACCCGCCAAGTTCTCTGAACTCAGTTCTGTCGTGTCCCTTCTTTCCGGTGATGTCATAAAACGTCGCTTACGCCCATCGTTAGATCACTCATCTCTAATGTGTCGAACCATATTAGACATGGCCAGTTGCCTAACCCAATCAGTAACGCTAAATACCCCGGATTCCTATCTCGTCTTACTGGAAGATGACATGATTATCGAAGAACGGGCTTTAGATCAGTTTTGGAAAATATTTGCCATGTTCCAGCAACATCCCTCGGACACAATTCATCACACAACAGCGACGTATAATCATAGGCTTCCCGGTCTTGTCCAACTCCACACGCCACATTCCGAATTGCACTATTCCTTGGTGGACTCTGGCAGCCTACTCGAACTCGCATTCCTCGGCGCTGTCCTTACTGTAGTCCTGTTTATTGCTTATTTCCACAATTGGTGGCGTCCGTTTCTCGTGTTGCACAACTGTGGTCTTGTGTGCTCTCTGTTCTTGACTTCAGTCTTTTTGGTCAATATGGTTGGTCGTGCCCATTGGCTCATAACCTATCACAAATTGCTCAAATATCAATCGATCACCGTCGCGAAAGACCCGTTGGCCAGTTCAACGGGTGCTGCTATGTTGGTATCCACACAGGTAGCCCGAGATTTGGGAGCGTTTTTGAACACATTCTCATGTACAGAGATTGACCGACGAGATCGTGTGAACAAAGCTCAATTGGTTTACCAATATTTGTCTTCTCATAATTTACCCGTTTGGAGGACACTTCCCAATCTTTTCAAACATCGTGGACTTTATTCTTTTTATACCAAAGATGTGAATCCATATGACGTAGAATGAGCGAAAACACCGTTTAGTTTTTGACTTTTTTCAATGGACAGTACTGACGTTATTTTATGTGGTTTCACCCCCAAGAAAATAAACATGCATTCATGAAAACACAGAACTGCTTGTTTATGTCTGATTAGCGCGCCATTCTACTCGCCAAGATAAGTACCGTCTAATCAGTACGTTAGTTTTACCTTTGATGGTAACATTGCTAGGATCCGCCTCGGGAAATGAGTTATTCAGACGGCTACACTGTATTCCGTGTTACTCATCCGCTGTTTGCTCTTGCCTGGTGTCGCGGTAGATACAGAACCACTTAAGTTTTGAGCCGGTGATTTACCCAGTCATGTCTGCACAATGCACCTTGCTCACTGCACTCAATTTTTGAGAACTGAGATAGCTCAGTGGTTGAGGTGCCGCAAGGTCCACAGTCCAAACCCAACCTTAGCATCTCACCTGTTCCTGTATAGGCTCCGAAAAGCTGGCAGTATCCTTGTGCCTCCCGTTGGCATGGCCGTACCGAAAGGCAGTATCCTTGTGCCTCCCGTTGGCATGGCCGCTAGGTACCGAAAGGGTACTACAGCTGAACGATCGTATTCTCGTTTGTCTCCTGTGTTTTGATATGGTGGAGGAACTGATAGGTGTTTGTTTACTTTCTCTCATAGAGAAACAATGGTTCTGTTGCTTGGTCAGAAGGCTGGTCGTCAGATTATAGACCGCAGGATGTTCCGTCAACTTTGAGCTATCAATTGGGGCTCTGTTTAAATTCCTTTCTCGCATAGAGGCGTCATACACTGACGCATGTGAGTGCGCGTCGGTCTATGGCGATGGCTTTTCACTTGGAGTGCGCATTACGTGGACCGGGGGACGCCAGTTGTTTATCTTCGGAGACCTAAGTGCCTGTGGCAGCCATGCGAAGAGGGATGGATTCTTTGTTGATATGCATGTGCTCAAAAACGTTCGTCGAATCTAGATAGGGACATTTTTATAGGAGCAGAATGTTTACGGCTTTCAAAACACCCGTCACGAGGAGTTTTCGCCCCCTTCCTTCGGGTGGTATGGGAGCTAGGCACCGGAAGGGTGCTACCGCTGAACGCCCTATTATGGTTAGTCTGAGTCACGTTGCCTCTTCAGCCGGAATTGTTGTCAGATTCCGAAAAGCCTAACCAAACGACTGCTTCAGTTTTGCTGAAGCGCAAACAGTGAGGAGAATGACCCCTCGGACTAGCCACTGGGGTAGCAGAGGAAGAAAAAGGTGATAAAGCCACGCCTTGCCTAACAGTGCTAATACACCAAGGGGAGTGGACCTTCCTTTAAATTTTCTCATCTGTGAACATATAGAAAGTAATAAGCAGGCTAATGTATGTATGGAAACAATGTACGGGTTGAAGCTTATCTAGCGCAGCGTGTCTGTCCACAGTATTGACATTAAATTAATATTGTGAGTCACTTTAGTCTGACTGGTGTGGTTTCTGAACCAGCATCTAATTTGGGCGGAAGAATATGTACTGCAGCAGATAATAATAAATATTAACCGTTCAGCTGTGGTACCATTTTGGTGCCACCCGAAAGAAGCATGAGAACTGAGATACTGCCAGGTTGCTCAAGTTTAGACAAGAGTAGTCGACATGCCGTGGTTGGGTTCGAACCACTGGCCTTAACAACTTAGCTCTTCAAGCTTATAACGTTTTATCTTATTAAATGGACGTTTGCTAAATAGTCATTAAAGATTCGCGGGACGATCCGGATAATAGTTTGCAAACATGAGCACAATCCGCTGCTCGTTGCACCGATGTACATCGCCTTGAAGCTCGAAGAAGAGTTATGTGGTGGTGTCGGGGAATACACTTTTTGGTGGATATACAAATAATCCGCCGAAAGTAGACAAAGCACATCACTGTGACGTGACTGGCAGTATATTATTGTAGGAAAGGAGCAGAAGATTGCCTTCATCCGGCCAATCAGGGAAGATTCCCCATTTCTCAGTAAGTGGTCACAGACTCTCGCTACCTTTGGGCACCTACACAATTTGCAGTCACCATTCAAGACCTAAACTTTGCGTGAGGGGGCATAACCTTGAGTTCTTTGGACCAGTTACCCATTCGATATTTACTCGAAATGCCTTTTGTATACAATGAACGAAACAGTATTCCAACGACGTCAACCAGTGAATTAGCGTCCTTGGTGTTTCAGTTGCAAATGTTTGCTGTCCTGACCGAATAGATATGCCTACGTTGTCATGCCCCTCTGACAAAGAGGGCAGAAGGAGGTGTCAGCTCACTGACCGGCATTATATCTACGTCGTTGTTTCTAACGACGTAGAGACTAAGCTCCAATTGCGAAGTCATCAGATGAACATCAAGTTGTTACGGGTTCGTACCAAGAACTCAGAATGCATTTTATCTAACCATTGATACTGTTTGACTTGAATCCAAAGTTCTCATTGACTGTAAGCCAAAACTTATTTTCCTTCATAAAATTGATCAAGCAGTAAAGTGGATTGAATGGGCTGTTGATGTCCGGGGGAATCAGGTTAGTTTGGGAATCAAAGTCGTAGGGGATGTGGGCAAGGTGAACGGCTGGTATCCGAATCGAGTTTACCGGTCGACAATAGACAAACCGCTGAACATCTGCGGTTGTGGCGAGCCAAATATGGTGCTGCACATAAACTCTGGACGCCGATGTTTATCCGAGAAACTAAGATGCTTGTTGCGAACCATCGGTTGGATAAGGTGTATAAAATGTCCCCTTTCAACCTTTCAAATTTGTTGCGGATATGACATCAGATCCATGTTTGACTTCATCTTACACCGAGTCGTACTCCTACAGAGCTGATCAAATGTTGTTTTCTGGAATCATGTCTTTCAGAAAGGCAAATTATTCTCAAATGGCCGTGACGTGATATCCGCTCCACATTTTCAAAACATAAATTCTGCCTCGTGATGTAACACAACCGAATCTGAAGCAACCACATAGTTGGAAATGGATAGCACAATTCTTTCTCGAAAGAGGAACCGCTTGTGCTGACACTTATGAAGTCTGTATCTTTCCAGGACGAAATGGATCACTCTTGACACCAGAGGGTCGATCGAGATTAACGTAAACAAACTTGGAAATGTCCAATTTTGGAACTTTCTTTGAAGCTGTGAGCACAGTGTGACCCAAAGATAACGGTAACTGTGATTGCAAGCTAGGATAGGCAGATCCGAATAAGGCTATGAATTTATGGGCACCTGGTTTACAATTAGGACCCCATTGTCAAAAATATGACACTGAGGCAATTCCTCCAAAAGCGGCCTCATGCCTAGGATTTCTCTTCGTCTAGGTTGTTTACACGCAGTCCCATTTTTTTCTAGCACCCATAAACACAGGATTAAGAAAGAATATCGTTTGTGTACATCTGACTATAGACGCTGATGGTTATGGCACGGGCATCTGATCAATGGCTCCCCTGTGTGGCCCACACGGCTTAGTTATCTTCATTCCCATTACATACACAATGCAACACCTTTCCACCTTGACCCAATTCTAGTCGGTATTGACAATTATTTGTAAGCTGTCACCTCTAATTGCGTGTTCATCCTTCCCTTCCTGTACTGTTGTGCACCTGAATAATGCTAGTGACATTGTCTATCACTGACCGGTCAATATCACCCCTTCCCCGTTATCTCGGGTGTGGAAACGTAAAAAACCCAAACAGGCGTTTGTAAACCTCAGCTGTCAAACTTACAACGACCCTCTTTTATGCCTCGATGATTCCACACAATGTAAACAACTTAACTTTGTCACCAGCCTTCGTGAGACCGTTTTGCAACTTTGTCTGGTCTAACTGTGGATATGGTGACCTTTGGACATAAATTATTCCAATTGATCATGTGTGTTTGGCAATCTATCGGCTACCATGTGTTTACTTTGAAATACTGTGTAGGTAGTCGACAGACTGACGCGAGACAGAAACGAATTCAGCTTGTTTGTGGATAATGGTTCTTCTTACGCTGTGTGATGGACCAAGTGGTTAGAGCGAATTTACTAACCGGAAGGTCCGTGGTTCGAACCCGACCTCTACCACTCAACTTCCCTGTCTAGGCTTGGGCAACCCGGCAGTATCCCAGCCCTCGTGCAACCTTTGGGTGGCGTGGCAGCTAGGCACCGCAAGGGTGCTACAGCTGGACGATTTTTTTCCGGAACGCCACATGCTGGAATTATGACTTGCGAATTCGCGTTTGGTTCCACACTTTTTCCCATCAGTTTCTGCTCATAACCGTCTCACGTGTGACAGTTGCGTGTGCGCAGTGAGAAAATGCGAAATGTGATGTACTTCTGATGGTCGTCCTGGTGATGTGTCCTTGCTCACCACTCATGTGGGACCAAATGTCTCCAATACCCACGTATGTCTGGCAGTGGATATCGTGTGAAACGAGTAAAGTCTTTTGCATTCCAACTACAATGTAACCCAGGCAACTGATACCTTGTAGCCTTTGCTGACGAAGTTCCATTCTGGTGCTCAATATTCGCACAATGGAAAGCTATGACGTGTTCCTGATGGACTAAAGCAATCGGGCTATTGAGTACAAAGTACCAATCCAAACTTTTGAGCCCTATCCCGGGGTCTCAGCGATGCTGGGAAATTATTCTACCAGACTTTTCCGCCAGAAGTATGATTGTTTCAGTGGACAATGAAATTTGGTGAGCTGCCAAAACATGAACGTAGACCAGGATGGTTTTTGGTTTGAGCACATACGCAACAAAATGCAACATTTTGGCAAAAGTTTTGTAGCTAAGAGCATTGTGCGGCTAATTGGCCCCGTTCCATTCGTTGCTTTCCCATGACAGAGTGGTTGCCACTAAAGTGAGTGGGCCAAAACGGTTTGATGGTCCAGAGCGAAACGTTGCCCAAATAAAAACTACCGATCGTTTACCAAGCTCTTCTGAAATGATGACTTCTCAATCGGTTCCAAACTTTTTCCAATTGATTGAAAATAACTGATGGCGAGGTTGTTCTGCCCTTCTCT